GCTGTCGGCTGTGTTCATATCAGATGATCGTGTGATTGTTACTATGGTAACTCTGTCTACACGAAAGCCAGGATATACAGCAACTGTTGCTTATGGGTGTCGACGGGTATAGTGAAATTCCGTATTACGAGAGCCAGTCTCAGCCCATAGTCCTTATGGTATGTTCACGTTCACGGGAAGGCCAGGATTGTGGTTCAAGAAGTCAGGAACGCACCACATTACGTGCACCCGCCAACCCTGGAAAAGCAAACTGACATTCACTACTTCGGACTTTTCCCGTTTGTGTCTTTCCCTCCAACCAGTGAACATTGACTACTTCACTGTATTTTCACCCTCAAACCAGTGAACATTGACTACTTCACTGTATTTTCACCCTCAAACCAGTGAACATTGACTACTTGACTGTATTTTGTATTTTCACCAGCATACAAATAGAATAATAGTGTTGTACTGCTCCCTGGCCGTTAAAGCAGGTGTGTGTGCGTGTTTTTTTAAAAGGATTTAACACTCTTGTTTCTCACCATGAGTATCATTGACATACCCTCTTCATTGCTCTTCATTGCTCTTCATTGCTCTTCATTGCTCTTCATTGCTCTTCATTGCTCTTCATTGCTCTTCATTGCTGCACGGTTCTGGATTGACGTATTATACTCAAGTACTTGTGCCTACGTGTGGATGCATGGATCTGGTGTGTGTGTGTGTGTGTGTATGTGTGTGTGCGTACGTGCATGCGTGTGTGTGTGTATGTATGTACATGTGTTTGTGTGTGTGTGTGTGTGTGTGCATTTGTTGATAATTGCAGGCCTCGGCGACTCAACGTCTACAGGGCATATTGTGCATTGTACGATGAGTGTGAGAAGATGGTGCAGAAAGTGTCCGATCGCAAGATGGTCCAAGAGACATTAGTTTTGTGTAAGAACTATCCAGGTGTTGCAATTGGTCTTAGTCTACAGTCCTATCTACTAACTCCTATACAACGGTTACCAAGGTATCCACTGCTTGTCAAGGATCTCCTGGTAAGAGATACTCATGATGTGTATGTGTGTATGTGTGTGTGTGTGTGTGTGTGTGTGTGTGTGTGTGTGTGTGTGTGTGTGTGTGTGTGTGTGTGTCTCTCTCTCTCTCTCTCTCTCTCTCTCTCTCTCTCTCTCTCCTCTCTCTCTCTCTCTCTCTCTCTCTCCTCTCTCTCTCTCTCTCTCTCTCTCTCTCTCTCTCTCTCTCTCTCTCTCTCTCTGTCTCTCTCTCTCTCTCTCTCTCTCTCTCTCTGTCTCTCTCTGTCTCTCTCTGTCTCTCTCTGTCTCTCTCTCTCTCTCTCTCTCTCTCTCTCTCTCTCTCTCTCTCTCTCTCTCTCTCTCTCTCTCTCTCTCTCTCTCTCTCTCTCTCTCTCTCTCTCTCTCTCTCTCTCTCTGTCTCTCTCTGTCTCTCTCTCTGTCTCTCTCTCTGTCTCTCTCTGTCTCTCTCTCTGTCTCTCTCTCTGTCTCTGTCTCTGTCTCTCTCCTCTCTCTCTCTCTCTCTCTCTCTCTCTCTCTCTCTCTCTCTCTCTCTCTCTCTCTCTCTCTCTCTCTCTCTCTCTCTCTCTCTCTCTCTCTCTCTCTCTCTCTCTCTCTCCTCTCTCTCTCTCTCTCGTTCCTATCAGTTGCTGTGAACACTTGAGTGGAGAGCGCTTGCTCGAGCGTTGAACCGGGTTCTTAATCCCACCATACCCAGTTCGCAAGGCTGGGCGGGGTTGTGAGCAGGCTTTCATTTCATCTTTTCTTATTATTTCTTATTATTTCTGCTTTCATCTCATTACAAAAATTCTGCGCTTTTTCTCCATCTGCGCATAAAATCTAGACTGACAACCTGCTTGTTAAATCATGCACCTGCTTTCAGGCGTAAAAACCCTGTTGTAGAGGTCTCAGTCCTCATTTGTTAGACTTACCTGTCTTTATAAATGTAACTTATTCTCTCTCTCTCTCTATTTGTACTCCCCTTGGGTATGTTGTGTTGTGTGCGCTCCCCTAGGTATGATGTTGTGTGTTTCCCTATTGGATCATGTGTTGTATGTTCTCCTTGGGCATGCCGTGTTGTGTCACCCCTAGCGCATGCTGTGCTGTATGTTCTAATCGGGCATGCTGTGTGACCCCTAGCGTATGATGTGTTGTGTGACCCCTAGCGTATGATGTGTTGCGTGACCCCTAGCGTATGATGTTTTGTGTGACCCCTAGCGTATGATGTGCTGTATGTTCCTGTTATAATGTTACGTGTAGAAAAAGACGGACGCTAGTCATCCGGATCATACCTTGTTAACACAAGCCCTGGCCGAACTAGAAGGCAATGCGCAGAAGATTGACATGTACATACAAGAGCAGCGCAGTGTCGCTACTATTAACTCACTCAAGAGAGAGATGCCAACGGCGGAGAACTTCTTTGATGATACGGCTGCTAATATGATCTATCACACCGGAATGGTATGTGTAGTTCACATCCACATGTACTTCTATATGCACTTCTATAAAAC